GTCCAGCTGCTCCAGCCGCGCCCCCGGGACGACCTCAGAGCGGGAACCAAATGCCGGGTCACCGGCTGGGGCGCCACCGACCCAGAAGTTCTGAGCCCCTCGGACACCCTGCGCGAAGTCACCGTGACCGTCATCAGCCGGAAGCTCTGCAACAGCCCGAGTTACTACAACCACCAGCCCGTCATCACGAAAGGCCTGGTGTGTGCCGGCGACACTAAGGGCCAGAAGGACTCCTGCCAGGTGAGAGCGCCCCTCGGAGGGCCTGGGCCGGCGCTGTGCCCCTCGCCCCTCGGAGGGTCTGGGCCAGCACCAAGCCAAGGGCACGGAGAGCACAGAGCCTCGTCCTGCAGCCGCTCTCGTCCCCGCACAGCGCCCTTGGCCTTTTCCCTCTTCCGAGTGAACGAACCCTAAGGACACCCCCACGCAGGATGCGTGCTCCCCCATGTGTGTGCCAGGACACCAGGCCTCACCTGGTGCCTCTCCCAGGCGTCACCTGGGTCTCCATCCCCAGGAAGCGTCCCAGCTGGGAGGTCTGTAGCGGGGTTAGGGCACCTCTCCCAGCGCAGGCCCCTCACATTGGAGAAGAGTGGTCTCACCGCGCTCACGTGCAGAAGCCACACTGTAGTGCGTTTCTGGAACCATCCGACCGACTCGCGGTCACACGTTTCCCAATCTTGTTTCCGGGGGGAGTTAAGGAATAGGTGTGCACGGTGGCAGGTGACAAGGCGGTGGAACACTGCTCACATCAGACTTTACATACGTGTGGTCATGGGACGGAGGCTGTGATGACTCCAAGATCATGTGTGTGTGGCGCCCCAAGACCCCCATTCCCCCCACCCAGCAACTTTCAATGCCCTTCACCCCCGGCACACACAGGCTAATGACTAAATTCTGGCCCACACCCAAAAAATATTTTATTTTTCTGATCTGACGAAAAAGAGAGGCATAATTTTGATTCATTAACAGCACCGACGGCTATTGCTGCGTGGGCTGTTGTCGTTTCTTATTCGGCGACCGACCTCGGGCGGGGGGAGGAGGACAGTGCCCGGGTCAAGAGTCGGGTGTCACGTGTTGTAAGCATTCTCACAGCACGCCTGTTCCACGGTACACGTCTGGAAGATCGCTGTCCTACGCACGTGTTCGCAGCGACCAGAGCGCCATGGGCCGCGGGCGGCGGGGAGGGGCAGCAGGGCCGAGGCAGCCTGCGCCTGTCACTTGCCTTGGCAGGTCTGAGGGACAGGTGTTGTCAGAGCGAGTCTTGAGCATCAGCCCCTGAGCAAGTCCCCCCTGCGTGCTGTGCGTGCGCAGAGCCCTCTGCTCCGCCATCAGAGGCGGGAAACCAGGACGGAAGACAGAGCCCTGCCCAGCAAGACACCACACCCTCCTCCCTGCAGCTTGGTTTCAGGCCGGGGCACCACAGGGACAGTTTAAAAACCCCTTTCGTGTCAGTGAGCATTTCAGACTCTACGTCTGCCCATTCCTTCATGAATAAGGTTCAACAGCCAGTGATTACCAACGGATGTAGACAGGGACATGGACAGACAGACAGAACCATGGGCCTGGACAGAGACACAGACACACGCGCCCTGCATGGCTGAGGGGGTGTCTTCGGGACCCAGAGAACCCCGATGAGTCAGTCACCGTCCACGGCAGGGGGCGATGGAGAGCCTCTCACCCACGTGTGTCCCTTCCCCCCGCAGGGCGATTCCGGGGGCCCCCTGGTCTGCGGGGGCGCCTTCTCCGGCCTGGTCTCTGGAGGCCTTAAGTGCGGCGACGCCAAGAAACCCGGGGTCTACACCCTCCTCACCCGGAAGGTCCAGGCCTGGATCCAACGCAAGCTCCCCCGCCCGCCTGCAGAATGAGCTGCACCTCGTGCCTCGGCCGGCCTGCTGCTTGTTCCTGTGTTTGTTTTGCCCCCAGAATATGTTCTACAGGCCAGCGGGATCGTCCGATGTCGCTGGATGCGGTTACCTTGGGGCTCGGGGAGGGCCCGGCCCCTGAGGACCGCCGTGGTTATGGAACCGAGTCCTTTGTCCCACGTCTCGCTGGTGTGCCTACGCTGCTGGTTTCGGTCTGAATAAAGGGTAGACGCCACTCTGCTTGTCTGTCATGGGAACAAGCCCAGCCAATGACATGTCCCCGTAGCCCCGTCCCCTCCGGGCAAAGGTGAGGGAACAGGGCGGCTCGGCCTCCGACCAGGCCTGCCCTGCAGGGCCCGGAGCTGGGCCCTCAGAGTGAAGAGCAAATCCCACACGCCAGGCGGGGAAGGGAGGACGATCAGAGTCGATACGGGTGTCGAGGGTAGGACTCGCCGCGCACTTACGCATACCCTCTTCCAAACGGGACTTAGAGCAATGAACGCAAACAACTGCCGCTAAACGAAATGTGAAACTTAAAATCCCTTTTCCCCAGAACATGACCCAGCAATTCCGCTCCTGGGTGTTTACCTAAAGAATATGAAAGCCCGACCTCACACGATCTGTGCACCCAAGTTCATTGCAGGGTTCGTTAACAGCCAAGACACGGGACAGCGTGTGTGTCCACTGCTGGATTCATGGGTGAAGAATTGCGATGAACACACACACACACACAGAGGAATATTATTCAGGCATAAAACACAATGAAATGGTGCCGTTTGCAGCAGCATGAGTGGACCTCGAGGGCATTATGCTGTGAGATGAGCCAGCAGGAAAGGTGACTATCTCACGATCTCTCCTATGTGGGATCTTCAATAAATAAAAACAAAAAGACCGGCTCATCGGTACGGAGAGCAGATTGTGGTTGGCAGAGGTGGTGGGTGAAGAGCAGGCCCCGGGGCCTGGCTTTTCTTTTTTTAATATATTTTTATTGATCCCAGAGAGGAAGGGAGAGGGAGAGAGAGAAACATCAGTGATGAGAGTGAATCATTGACCGGCTGCCTCCTGCACGCCCCACGCTGGAGATGGAGCCTGCAGCCCTGGCCTGTGCCCTGACCGGGAATCGAACCCTGACCTCCTGGCTCATAGGTGGACGCTCACCCACTGAGCCACCGGCCGGGCCGGAGCCTGACCTTCTCAGGAAGGTCTCATCCACGGAGACCGGCTCTCGGTGCGCGAGGCCCTCCTCTGCCTGAGCTCTCCGTGTGGGATGCGGCACGCGTGACAAGGGAGAGGGAGGAGAGGCCTCCAGTGGGGGATTCCCTCCTGTTAAGCCATCGCATGCGGCCCTGTGAGGTCCAGGCCACACGCAGGCCGGCGGCACTGGGCACCCGCGTCCTGACTGATTCAGCCCCACTTCACGCGGCCACACGCCACTTCCTGTTCACAGACGTGAGCTTCTTGGGTCATTTGCTGAGTCATATCAGCCCCTCTAGCCTGACAGCCCCGCCCGTCGCCTCACATCCCCCCCTCCCCACCCTCCTGCGAAGGGGTGCTGCTCACTTCCTGGGCTGAGCCATCGGCCCGGCCCGTGGGAGGCAGCGCACGTGCACAGGGAGCTGAGCTGGTCCTGAGGCCGGGAAGGGGAGAGTTAAATCCCTGAGTCAGAGCAGAGTCACAGGACCCCCCGGAAGGGCAGTGGGGGCCCAGGCCCCGAGGTTGGCTGCATCTGCTGCGAACAGCTCTGAGGTCCGGGTCAGAGAGGGGGTTCAGCCATGGGTGCGGGGAAAGGAGGCACCACGGGTAAGGACCAACAGGAGTGGTGGGAGGGGAGGCGCGCTCCCACCTGCCCGGGTCCCCCAGCCGCTCCTCGCCTGGGCCTGGGAGCGCTGAGCACTGGGCTCGCCTGATCTGTTCTGCTCCCGCTCACCAAGCGCTTCTGGCAGCGGCTGCTCCCTTCGCCAGGTCAACGGCGTTTGCTTTTCTACGTCTATTACTTTCAGACTCGCACTGGGGCCTCTGAATTTCCCCGAGACGGAAAGTCACTGCTGGGGCCGAAAACATCGGCTCCCCTGCATCAGTGATGGTCGAACCCTGGACCCTGGACAGTTGCCCACCCACCGAGTGCTGACCCCGGGGGCTTCACGGCAGGTGGGCCGCCCGCCTGCCCCCAGGCAGGACCCCAGCGCCCCCGCCCTCCAGGCATGGAATGTGCTCGTATTCGCAGCATCTGTGCAGACATACTCAGCTCCGATGAGCCAGTAGCTCTAGGACGTGTGAATGGTTTGACTGAGCTGGCCGTCCGCTCCGTAGCGAGGACTAGGGCGCACTACTCAGCAGCCACCACCTCTCCTCCCTGCGAACAGAGCTCACCTTTCCCGGGCACCACCGATGTGCCAGCTCAGCAACAGCATTAGGCTCCCTCCCGCAAACGTGGCCAAGGAGGTGACGTGGATCACCGATGGGGGCTTCCAGAAGGCTCCTTTAAAGTGGCCTTCCCCTGCCCCTTTCTGCTGCCTGGGCTCCAGATGCGATGGCTGGAGCTCCAGCAACCCCACTGGAGCCACGAGGCAACACGAGCAGGGCCAGGTGTTAGTGAGGGTGAAGCCGCAAGGAGCCCTCCCGTCCTGTGCTCCCCGGGGCTCCTTACACCGAAGAGAACACACACGTACGTGTGAGCCACTGTCATGTGGCGTCTGTGTTGTACACATCCTCACCCCCTCAGAACCCTGACTTCCTGCTCCAAACTATGGCAAGCCTGTGCCTTCACGTCCCTCTACCGCAATCCTCCAAAATCCCCGTGGCTCTAGCTTCCCACCTCACCCTGTGTAGCCAGGAGCTGATCCAGAAAAGGAACGTCTAAATGTCACCAGTCCATCATCTCCCCTCGCGGCTCCGATCGCGGTGGAGAAGACGCCTGGCTCGCTCGCTCGCGGAGAGGTTTCTGTCCTCACCACACACGGCTGGGGGCACGCATTCCTGTCCCTCTTACAGAAACACCCTTGGCACTCTGTCGTCGGTAACGCTGGTCTCTCCTTCTGAGTATATTTTGTAAGTCGATCTTGTCGAGCTGCTTTGTGCAAACTCCGTGAAAATAATGTTTTCTGGCACTTGAGGTTATTGCTTGTTTTATTATTTCACAATCGTTTAAAATAACATCGCAGTTTTTCCATCCAGACGGCGAACGCAGCTCCACCGGAAGGCGGTTGGACATAGTAATGCCCCGATAGGAGCAGTGTTGTTGAAAGCAAAGCAGGCCCCCGACCACCCACAGTGCAAAGAGTGACGGGGTCAACAGCCAATCCAGATGGACCCCAGCATGCTCAGTGCTGAGCACTCAGAGAGATCGCCTCATTCATTCATTCACTCACTCCCTCACTCATTCATTCATTCAGTCCATCAGTCGATCAACAAACACTATTGAGCACCGGGCCCTGTGCTGGCCACGGGAGACACCAAGAAGACAAGACGCAGTTCGGGCCCTGCAGGAACTCAGAGTCTAGGGAGCAAACACGGACCGGCTAATAAATAAATATACTCTGGCCCCGAAATTGTTATAAAGGTGGCGTGTATCAAACATCAGAACAGAGACATGCACAAGCAATGACGCTATGACCCAAACATTGTGACATGAGGACAGAAAGCTCATTCCAGGGTGAGGCGTCGGGATTCCTGCGGGACCGTTTGCGGGGCACCTGGCCCGTTCCGATGGGCCTGCTCCACCAGTGGGTGGGCCACCATGTCCCAAGGAAGAGAGAGCTGGGCCCCCAGGTTTGCACTTGCATCTCTGACCAGAGAGAGGAGGAGGACAGCAATCGCTGGAGCGCAGCGTGTCCACGTGGCTGCCCACGTGCACCCCTGGGAGGGCTTGGCTGTCACCACGACCCCCTCCACAGAGACACTGAGACAGGCAACGTGGGCGGCCGACCTCTCGGAGGAAACGGCCCACTTCTCCCAGCGAGAGATGGCGCAGCCCGACCCATGCATCGAGAGCGAGCCTTCATCTGCCCTTTTAGCAGCTTTGGGGACCAGGGGCCAGAAGAAATTGGGAACCCCAACTTGGCATGGGAGTTCTAGGATATCCTCATCCCAAAATGGGTCTCCCTGCAGCTATCATTCTCTTAATCATTAAAAAAAGGAAAAAGGACCCAGCAAAACAGCATTTAAAATGAACGGCTCCACCCTGCCTTGCCACACCACCTGCTCATGCTGCGGGCTGCACATGCTGGGCTGTGCTCTATTACACGGACCTGGGCCCTATTACATGGGTCTGAGCCCTATTACATGGGCCCAAGCTCTATTACACGGGTATAAGCCCTATTACACGGGCCCACACTCTATCACACGGGTCCGCACTCTATTATACGGGTCTGAGCTCTATTACAGGGACCTGGGCTCTATTACACAGGTCCAAGCTCTATTACACGGGTATGAACCCTATTACACAGGCCCACACTCTATTACACGGGTCCGCACTCTATTACACGGGTCTGAGCTCTATTACATGGGCCTGCATTTTCTTTCCAGCTCGCTGACCTTGACATCCAGGTTGTTTAAAGCATTAGGCCTCAGATGAACTGTCTGAGTCTTAATTAGGAAAAATACATTTCAAAAACGTTTTAGATAGAGATGGCGCACTCGCAGAAATCTCACTAGAACGTACGCTGCCGCACTCACTGCACATTAGGCCCGCGTGTGCTGGTCACTGCTGCCCATGGGACCAAAGAAACAAGCCAATGTCCCCTCCACCAGATGCGGGGGGGGGGGGGAGCTCTGAATCTGGAAACTGGTGAAGAACGGGCTCCGCGCCCACCTCTCCCGGGGCCGTGCCCGGGCCCAGGCCCCTGTGCCTGTGGGCGTCCGGGTCCTCATCCGTCGCAGGGATCTGGACCGGAGGAGCCATGGGTCCTGATGGCCCAAGAGACCCAGACCGGAGGCGTGGGCTACGCTGCGGAGGCAGCTCTTCTGCCTCATTTCTGAGCCAGGAACGCAGCCCCGGTGGCATGCCTCCGGTCAAACGCCACGTCACGCCCGACCACAGCCACAGACGCTGCGGGGACCAGTGTCAGCGACCAAAGGGGAGCAGCAGAGCCCAGAGAGCAAGTCGACAGCCGCTCGCGGCCCCCACTCCGGGCTCAGTTTCACGGGTTTGGCAGCCCCATTTCTCTGACATGATGGGAGCTGACGGAAAAAGCACCTCAGCAGAGCTGCTTTCCTCCTGTA